CAGGGCGGAGCCAGCAGCACTGGTCCAGCTGGGCAGTGATGGGGCCAGACCAGGGCAGGGGCAGAAGGGGAGGGGAAGCGGGAAGATTCTGGATCTCACGTGAATGAGCATGTGTCTGTGGAGGGAAGGATCTGCGTTGTCCGCTGCCCACACGTGAGCTCCCCACGCCCGCGGGCAGCCACACCAGTGCCCGTACCTGGGCTCCACGCTGAGAATACGGAACGCAGGGCTGGCCTCTGACAGCCTTTCCCGCTTCACCGGACACTCCTTTTCCTGGGAGGTAAAGTCCAAAGGTCAGGGGACGCTGGGCCTGACCATGTCCCGGCCTCGCGCCCCCATCTGGTCAGGCCAGCCCTCACCCAGCAGCGCATGATGTCCCAGAGGGCTGAGGAGGGGGCATCCGTCTTCACGGCATTCTTACAGGCGTGGGAGAGTGAGACCCGGAAGCCGGCATGGAGGAGGGCTGACCTGGGGACCAAGAGGGGCCGTGGGTGGGGGGCGGGGGGCCGGACCCCAAAGCCAGTGCTGATCCGTGCGGGTGTGACGCAGCTGAACGTCTCACGGTGACTACGCGGCCCGGGTAATGCCAGTGATCGTGATGGGGAGACTATCTCCCTCCCCAAGGCTCAAGGCCTCCGCGCTCTCTTCTAAGCACCTGCACGTAGGCCTGTTGGAAAGCTGTTTTACCCAAGACTCTGGCCTTGAGGGGGGCCGGCCTTGCCCCAGGGCACCCGGAGGGCGGGCGAAGGGCGCAGACTCCTTCCCGCCCGGGACTGGGCACTCACCGCAGCTGCAGGAGGCTGGGCGTGCTGCAGCGGATAGTGCTGCTCAGCTGGTCCAGCGTGTAGTAGAGAGGCACGTCCGGGAGCTCCTGCCGGTGGGGACAGGAAGGGCGCGGGGTGGGTGGGGGAAGGATGGCTGGGCACAGGCGGGGCCCCCTCCCCGTCACCCCGGGCCCCCACCTCAGTGATGACGCTCAGGACCCCCTGGATTCGCTCTGAGGTGTGGAAGCGGCCAGGATTGGTGCTCACAGCCTGCAGCACGCGCCCCACGAAGTCCAGGTCGTGGATGGGCTCCGCCCACAGGGGACCGCCAAGCTACAGACACGTGGCGGGGGGGGGCGCGAAGGGCCAGGTGTCAAGAGAGCCGGAACCCCAGCGTCCCCCTGGTTTCCCCGGCCCTGCCTCACCTGGTGTCGCTGCCCACAGTGCTCACACTCAGGGCTGATCGGGGGACCACAGGCCGCAGAGAACTTGACCCTGCGGAGAGAGGGGTGGTTAGGGGGCGGCGACCCTAGGACGCCTCCTTCACCTTCCTCCCCCGGCTCACCCGTGCTCACCGGCCGCCAGAGGCTCCGGACGTTTTGCCAAGGCGCTGGAGGTGAAAGGTGCCGCAGCCCACACACTGGAACACCAGTGCCTGCTTGCTGGGGGGGGCGGGCAGGGCTCATAAGCTCCCCAGCCTGACCGCCGCACCCCAGCTCCTCCCCGTTAGGAGTCCCGTTTCCTCCCGTGCCCCAAAAGGCCCTGTTGCCCCCCTCTGTTCGTTGCCTCCCTTGCTTGCCCCAGACTAACCTGGCTGAGGCCTTGACTTTGGCCTGGCCGGTGAAGACGCGGACAAAAACTCTCACGTAGAAGTCAGCGCTGACGCTGAGCAGTGGCACCACAAAGCGCTGGTAGCAGTTGGCTCGGAGGTCCAGGCTGTGCAGGACGATCCTCAGGGCCTGAGGGTGGGAGGCGGGCATCAGCCAGCAGCCCTGCCTCCACGGACGCCTCCCAGCTACCCTGGGGCCACACCAGGTGCTCATAAGCACAGGCTCAGGGGCGGCTCCCCGGTGTTGCAAGCCCAGGCCCAAGCGTCCTGGCTGTGTGACCCCTGCCAAGTGAATGCCTCAGTTCCCCCATCGACGGGATCACAACAGTCTATGTCTCTTTATGGGCCTCCTGGGGGTGCTACGTGGTTACGGAGCGCACAGGCCCGCCATCCAGGGCAGCAACATC